GCTGTGTTACACACTGCATGAAAGGTAATTTTCAAAAATCCATAATAGGGGCACTTTTATTTTATTTTCACACTTTTTGCATCACTGTACAAAATTACAAATTGAAAATGACACACAATAAAAATGTAACTTATACAGTATATATATATTTTTTTTTATAAATTTATAAATATATATTTTATATATATAAAAAAAAACTTTATTAAGGGCAAAATTGCTTATTGTGGTGAAAATAGCTGAGGCAACTGTAATTTTTATATTTATATAAATCACACAAAAAATATTGAAATTGTTTTTTTTATTATTTCTTTGTTGAAATCATCATTGATTTAACATTTTAATCATTCATGTTTATAGTCATTTTTTATAGTTTCTGAAAGTCTGGGTCAAGGGTAAAACTATAATATCAAAAGGTATTTGAAAAGTAGAAAAATTTAATTAAAAGTTATTGAAAAGTTTTAATGTGAAAAAAGCTGAAAACTGTTAACTTTCATCAAAACAACCCCTGGGGCATAAGTGGCAGAATATGACAAAAGCAGTGGGCTTAAAAGAAAACTGGCCAAATAAATCAACAATTTCAGACTGCTTGCAGAGAATGTTGTAGAGAAATCAAATTAAATGCAATCTGCCTCCAAACTTGGAAAAATGAACCATCTGTACTTGTATTCACTTTCAGAACTCAGATGACCTGCTGGTGGCATCAGCCGAATGTCCCAGTGATGATGAGGATCTGGAGGAGTGTGAGCCGGGCACTGGTGAGTACAAACACGCACAGCAGCACTGAGGCCATACAGACCCACACAAGCTCCAGGCGCTCACAGGCAGCACAAACATCAGATCAAACAATTTTCTTTAAAAAAAATTCACTTTTTTTTTTAAATAAGCAGAGGTTTTTAATGACTTATGGATATATTCCGGTTGGATATACTGCAGTTCTGTAGATAATTCCTCATTTTAAATCTCACTAGAACTTCAATTACAAAAACGTTTTTAATTGTTTGTTAATTTTTAAGATGTTATTTTATATAATTGTAATGTCTTATGTGTTCAGTAAAAACATGTTTTATATGTAAAATGAAATTCTAGCAAATATTCAGGAAATAACTTTCAGCAGTTGGGTCTAAAATATAATTTTTACAGTTTCACTTTAGTTTCAGACTTACAAGTGCAATTTTAATTTGTGTTCCTAATGTAAATTCTGTTTCCCATAATGCTTTTCTACTAGCACTCTTCCCCCATATTAACCCTATAGATGCTATGAACAAAGACGTATGCTTTAGAGCTCAGCGGATCATTTAGGAACTACATTATGAGCTGATATGGCTGAGCTTAGACTAAGGGTTATATTGCTTAAAGGGTGGCCTTATACCATCTGGGCTATTCATAAAGTTAAGTGGCCATTCCACTCCATCGTTGGGTTCCACTTTAAGCATTCATATATCAGTAAAGGTGTGACTTCAAGCCGTGTTGCATAGTACATGGAATTATTACTCTGTGCTCAGCTATTGCTCTTGTGATTGTGCATTATGTTGCAATCATTCAGTGTCGTTGAGTGGTTGAGGTTTTTCTGATGGCCCATCTGGAAAATCAGCTGTTGCTGTTTGACATTTGTCCAAGCCTTTAGTTTCATTTCAGATTATTTTAGTTATAAGTAATGAAATGTTGGAAATTAAACATATTAACCCAGACATTTCTTATTAAATAATTGCTACAACAGCCCTATTTATTGGCTCTGTCTCAAAATCTAGTCAGCTGCCTGCCTAGCTTTTTTGTGCATCATTTGCACACTCCTGACACTAAAAAACTTTCAAATAATTTGAAGCGGTATAGCTTGTTTGTTTCATAGATAAGGCAATCCCATAATGTGATGTGACAAGCTTCAAAGAGAAATATTTTTAAATAAAGTATAAAAAATGTTATTAATGTGTCATAATGAAGCAGCCTTACACTAACTATCAGAAGTTTGGGGTTGGCAAGATCTTTTAATGTTTTTGAAAGAAGTTTCTTATGCTCATAAGGCTGCATTTATTTGATAAAAATACAGTAAGTATAGTGTATATAGTTAGTAATATTGTGATTCATTTTATTACCATTTAAAATAAATAAATAACTAAATAAATAAAATGTAGTTCATTCCTGCGATGACAAACCTGAATTTTTAGCGGTCATTCATGCATTCTTCAGTGTCACATGATCCTTCAGAAGTCATTCTGATATGCTAATTTGGTGCTTAAGAAACATATTTTATCAATATTGAAAACAGTTGTGCTGCTTCATATTTTTGTGGAACCCATGATACATGTTTTTAGGATTCTTTGATGTATAGAAAATTCAAAAGAACATTTATTTGAAATATAAATTTTTTCTAAAATTATATATGGCTTTACTGTATGTGCTGAAAAAAGTGTTAAAAAAATTACTGACACCAAACATTTGAAAAGTAGCGTACATCATTAAAATGTTTTGGCTGTCTGTGTGCATTATACTCAACTTAGCTCAAATTAGCTTAATCACATGCCAACATCAGAATCAGAATTTGAGTGCCATGTTAGTGGCTTTTTTATTACGTTTCTGCCTTTAAATTGCATCTCAGATCAGTCAGATCCACTCACGAGCTTCCATTTTGTTTGTAATAAGATTTATATAGATAATTCCCTATATAGGCATTAGACAGAAATTAGCTAACTAGATTTTGAGACGGCATTTAACTTATCACACAGTGCACATATGCAGAGGATTTTATCATTGCAAAGTGAAATCTGTATTTATGCAAGTCAAATGAAAGGCTAGAAAACAGATGAGTGTGTCAAAGAGTATGAAGGGGAGAAAATTTGTGATTTTAAAGGGACCATCTTACACACCTTTGTTTTTTGTAATTTGCTTTTTTTCCATGCAAAAATCATGCGGCCTATTTGTTAATGTAAGTGACCCAAACTCAATGGTTTGCTATCTTGTTTAACCAAAGAAGAGCCAAGAGCTATTCAAGATATGAGTTGGTTCTGTTTTACATGTTATTGTAGTGATCTAGATATATTTATGTTAGTCATTTGAATAGGTTTAGAAAATATTGTAGCATTTTACATGTGAATATAAAGTATTGTGTGTAGAATCTTTGTCTTAGAATAAATTCCACAGAATAGAATTCTAAATCTAAAACTAATAGAGTGTGCGTGTATATGCATGTAGATATTCTCGAGTCCTTACTAATTGTTCTTCCTCTCACCCTTTCTCCTCTCCCATCCCAGGAGGTGAACTTGTGTTGCCTATAATTACTGTGGACACCCAAGACCCCCTTCCCATAGCCACCCGTTACCCCGCCATCCCTGCCCCCCCCACATCCCTGACCCCTCTCCAAACCACCAAAGAGTCCCTCGTTCTGTCCGACCTCCGCCCGCCATGCCCTCCAGACCAGGAGGACTGCGGCGACCCCATGGAGGTATCGGCCTTCGGCTCCGGAGAGATGACGGAGTCCGATGACGAGGACTTTTACAAAAACTCCCCCATGGTCACAGACAGGACGGTCCTACCGCCGCCCCCTGCCGTGGGCAAGAGCGGAGGCCAGAGCCCAGGTGACCACCGTCCTCCAGTCCCCGGCCCCACCACACACCCCAACCAGCTCCACATCCCCGCAGGCAAAATGAATACCCGTGACCAGGTGCTCCTACCGCCCGCCCCGTCCTCCCGTCACACTCCAGGGTTAACCTACCCACCTGGTTTCCCCCATGTGCCCACAGCTCACCCCACCGACCTGATGGAGAAGGGCCACCCGGGCGCCGTGGAGGTAATCAGGGAGTCCAGCAGCACCACAGGCATGGTGGTCGGCATCGTGGCGGCTGCTGCCCTCTGCATCCTCATCCTCCTTTACGCCATGTACAAGTACCGCAACCGGGACGAAGGTTCTTATCAGGTGGACCAGAACCGCAATTCAGGATCCGAAAGCAACGGCGCCGTAGTCAAAGAGAAGACGCCGAGCACAACCGCCGCCGTCGCAAAGACGACCGCCAAGGGCAAGAAAAATAAAGACAAGGAGTATTACGTCTGAGAGAGACAGAGGAGGAGGTTCACAGACAGGAAGTGTGCTGAGGATTTTAAAACTTCAAATCACCTCCTCTGCATCCTCAAACATTTAAGCCACACAATCTTCTGTTTACTTCTCCAAACGTTTTTCTGCCAACCGAAAGATACGGACGTAGGGAATGAGGAGGAAGGAACACTGACCGATAGATCCTCCTTTCGTTTCTGTCTTGCGAAGTCATTGTTTTATGTAATTTTATCTCTATCATGTCTAAAGAAAATCTTCCATTACATTCCAAATGATGTAATGCCCTCTTTGCAATTAAAAATTTATGTTTTGTGGGCCTCTATGGGAGAGTAACCAACACCATGGACAGGGAGAGAAAACCCACCGGTTTAACAGATGTATCCACACACGAGCTTTTGGTGCTATTCCTGAACGTTTGTTTAATATTATCTTCACAGAGCTATGAAATTGAGATCTTCTACGAGGCGGTCGTTGGCCCTTGTTGTAATAATTCATGAAGAACAGAAGCGATTGTGTTAGTTATTTGCACGAGACAAGCAGATGCTCCCATCAGTTCTTGTGGAGATGTTAAATCTGACACCTTTTTCGTGTTCAGTTGGAAAGGCGGTGGATAGCATCGCATTTTCTGACTGAGCCTGAAAAACCCGGAGAGTCTGAATTCGTTTACACTCTGGTATCTTTTGTCAGTGTAGAAATTAGGATTTATCTGTCTCTGCCATGAAACACATGATTCTAATTCTTTCTTTGTTGTTTGTCCGCCATGGTTTCATAAACACGTTCTCGCTTAGAATCGCAGATCAGACGGTGAAGCCTGCTTTGACAGCAACACCTCCACTAGCAGCTCAGAAGGTTGTTAGAACTTTAAAAAGCCAGCGAAAGGCATTCAGCAGGCATCTTTCTCTCTCTCTCTCTCTCTCCATGGTGCCGAAACATTGTGATCTGTTAGGCTACTAATTGTGTTCCATGCATGATGCATTCACATTCAGCTTTCCATGAGAGTTTTTTTATATGAATTACATAAAGTTGAACTCTCATCTCACCCGGAGGGATTCATAGCACCATGGGCGAGCACGACGCGGACAAAAGAGACCTCAGAAAGTGGGACTGTCCTGAACTGAACATCAGCTTGGACAAAAGATGTTGTATCTATGTAAATACAGGACATTGCTGAAAACGCTTCAGGAGACAGGTTTGTGTGTATCGAGCATACGGTACGTATGCGTGTGTGTGCTTGTGTGTGTGTGAGTGTTTGTCCTCGTTCGTCCTCCGGCATGAGAAAGATATACGCAAGACTACGAGAACCCTTTCTCTTGCCTCCTATATTCTCTATGGTGTGAAACTACAGCCCAATACCCATCCGAATGAGACTACAGACAGTGAAACAAACAGGATAAAGAGAACGGAGGCGAAATCATATTTTCAGAACTGTGTGGCATCTCTTTTAGGAGGGGAAAAAAGGAACTCGTTCTCATCGGGATGCCAGCTCACCACCTCCCAAACCTAAGAAAGTGAAAAGAAGCGAACTGACAAGGCTTTTATGGATAAAGCAGCACAACCTTGTGTCCAGACTTTTGTATCTAATGACACCTCCTGGAAAGGAGGAAAAAAGGAAGAAAAAAAAACTGTATACCGTCTAGATATTTCTCACACTTGAAAATATGTTTTTCCTGAATTGACGTTCCTTGTTATTACAAAGAGGTTTTTGTTTAGTCCTTTCTCTGCAAATGAAAAAAAAATGTTATTCACAATATATATTACTTCAGTAACACGAAGTGATTTTCAAATGTGAAATTCTGGGGGAAAAAATAATAATAATGTTTTGGGATTTTATTGAATTTGGTAAAAGATGAAGCATTACACCTAGCCATACCTCCATTTTACATTTGGGTTTTTTGTTACGTCATTGACAGGGCTTTTTCTGTTTGTGTTTTTGTTTTGTTTGTTCTTTTAAGATATAATTGTCATTTACCTATGCTGGTCAAAGTATATTCCCGTTCTTAATGTAATTGTAAAGTGTTACTGTGAGATGAAATCTAAATATGTGTACATTGACAGAGGGAAAAATACACTTGGTTCTATACTTCGTACTGATTTGGTCAGTGTGGTCTCTTTTATTTCTACAAATATTTGTCTTAAAGGGACTGACACTATCGTTCAAAAGTTTGGGATCTTTTAAACTTTCTTTTCATCAAACAATCCTGAAAAATGTATTACAGATTCCACAAAGATATTAAGAGGCGCATCTGTTTTCAACATAATAACGAGAAGAAATGTTTTCTGAGATTTGAATGATTTCTGAAGGATCATGTGACACTGAAGACTGGAGAAAGGTTCAGCTTTGCCAACATATGAAAAAATTATTTAAAAATATATTAAAATAGAAAACTAAATTGTAATAATAGTTCACAATATAACAGTTTTTATTGTATTTTCAATCAAATAAATGTAGCTTTAATGAGAGACTTCTCTCGAAAACATAATATTAAAAAAATCAACAAAATATATATATATATTATCAACCCCAAACTTTTGAATGGTAGTGTAAGTCACCCGAAAATGAAAATGTTATTAGTATTGTTGTTCTAAACCTGTATGACCTTTCATGGGAGAAAATATTTCATTTTTTTATGTTTCATAGTAAGAAAGTCCTACGGGTTTGGAGCAACATGAAGGTGAGTAATTGATGTCTCTTTAAGACGTCCATGTTGTGAAATCTCCACTTTATTTATTGTTGTCAGATGCTTGAGACTTTCATTTTTAATATTGAACATAAAAGTTTTTATCTTAGACTACTGGTAATTCGAAAGCCATTATTTCCCAGTGTCTTTCCTGCCTGAAAATCAAGTTTTATCCACTGTAAGAACTCTCACGCTGTGAAGTCAAGCCCTTGTCTTACATGGCAATTTCATCATCTGGTCTTATATATTGATGGGTTCCTACTCCAGAAGACTCCACATACTGCTAATACAAAGATGTCTTTAGATTCCTCTGCTGTCACACTGCTCAGATCTAGGTAGTCGGGTCTCTAAACAACACTCTTCCTTTATGGACTTAAAGGGAAAGAGGCTCCCACATTTTCTTTCTCCTTGTTCTGCACCCACTCTATATTATGTTCTTGAGGTCCTTGTTCCTAACTAACTATACACAGTACAGATGGAGCTATTTAAAGGCTAGAGCTAAAAGCATGCTTATGGAGAGCAGTTTCCTGGAATAAGAGGCATCTTGAATTTGGAAAAGATTCAGGCCGATAAGGCTATATCTAGAACAAGCCTTTCAAAAGCTGTGTAGTGTTGATTGCTTTCAAATGATAAAAGCTGTCCATGACACACTTCTGTTTTCATCATTATTCTGGGTCTATTGTAAATCTATAGTGGAGAGAATTGCATTTGGTCAATATGCACAGAATACACTTAAGTACAGCATTTAGTTAATTGGGTGTTTTCATTTAGTCAGTGGCTGTGGTTTCAATTATATTGCAGATGCAAAACTAAAGTACCAAGTCCGCCTTCTGTACAATGGTAGATTACATGCAAATCAAAAAGGATAAATCTAAATGGAATGCTTAAGTTTACTTATGTAGTATGTACGTGTTTTGTGTTGTCGGAGAATAACCAAATATTACTACAGACAATTGTTTATATGCAATATAAAAATGTATATAAAATTATGTGTATAAATTTAAATACAATGCATTTTATATATACAACATCACCACGAGAGATGATAGATAGATAGATAGATAGACAGATAGACATATAGATAGAGAATTAGTGAATATAAATGAAGTGAACTGCAAAACTGTATTATTAGGCTGTAGCAGGAGTTTGTTAGATATTGATTCAACATTCAGGTTCATGGTCTCCAAAGATAAGACCCAAAGAGCATCAAGACAGCCTTAAGGCATGTATGGATCAATAGTGGGAAAGAATTAGTGCTTTTCAAACAATACACAAGCTTTGAAACTGAAAGCAAGGCAGGGTTTATCACTTATTGCTGCAGTTACGTTTCAAACTGTGATTCCCAGCTACTGGCATCTTCCAAAAAAACAACAAAAAAAACCCACATTAAGAAAAAGACAAAGAAGAAAAGACAAAGAAAACCTGTCAGCATATTCTGATGCCATTCTACTTCACATCTTTCTGAACTCTGAGCTCTGGATTTGTGATTTGATGAATAATTTAGTACTTTCTTCCCATTTTCCTTCAAAGTAGAATTAACTAAAATTTTCACTTCTGCTAGTGCACCTGTCCTGCCAGAGGAAATGCATTAAGAGTACAAAAAAAACCTTCCCAAATGTCACTGAAATGACACTGTTTGATAGGTAAGCAAGATTTGAAACTTTCTTTTGTTGTATCTGCTAAGACGACTGTCATTTTATGCTCAAAAAAAAAAGAGTTGTCTGTAGCGGTAGCGAGACGAAGACCTAACAGACAGTGAGCAGTAGGCTAATGGGCAGTTGTGATGCCACTGGAATGAGAATGAAGCATCAACAGAAGGGCTTTGCATTAAAAAAAAAACTGCAGTGAAGCATGAGACTGCCATCTGCTGTCTAAATCCACTCATTCATCAATCTACATTTTAAAGAAAGAGTTTTACATTTTATACAAGTAAATATGAATGAAATAATAAAATGATATTCCCTGTGACTTATTTAAAAATGAAATCCTGGCAGTGACCCCTCAGCACATTTCAAAACCATCAGCTCATCATTAGCTTGCTGTGCCTTTGTATGACGAAAAGCCTTGAAAATGTCATGAGTGGAAACGCCATTGATCAACTTTGACAGTCCAGTGTTAAATGTAGGGTGAAATGTGCAAAAGTGGGATGTTTTTTGGTAGATTTGTGATGAATAAAAGCATTATACTCTCAGCATTTTTGTTATGCTAATATTTTACGATAATGATAGACAGAGTAGGGAAAATTAGAGTAAAATTAAGTACTTGTAATTAGATTAAATTACATTTTAAAATACCTGTAATCAGACTACATTTACTTTTTTATTAATTAAATGATTATATATTATTCACACAATAGCAATAAATTATTCATAATTTATTGATTCTCCCTAATTCTTCATTTCCATCTTTTAAGTTTTCCTTTCTAAAATTGCCTTATATACATTCAGAAAGACTTTTTTTTGTAGACATTCACACAGAGACCAGTCACTAGGTGGCTATAATTTCAAAGAAAATTGAGAGGCCGCACAGCATTTTACCACTGGGTTTACAAAAATCATTTCAATTTTAAGAAGTGTTTTCTCAACATTTCAACATTGCATCAACTACTGATGAACACCCAATTATCACTCAGTATAGGTTATTTGACCATGTATTACTATGTGTTTGGAAAGCTTTTGTCTTTCAAACACATTAAAATACACAAATTCAAGTAATTTCTTATTAATGCAGGGATTCCCAAACTTTTTGTCAGCCGAACATCTTTCACCTAATGCATTTACTTGAAATACCCCAGAGATTTTAAAATAAATATTTCATTATTAAGTATCACATTTGCATGTTCACTGTTCTCTGACATTGGTTAATGGTCACATGACATGTCGGTAAACAAATAAATTGTTTTATTTTTTAGTAAGTGTTTTATTTGAATTGTTATTTTTTTATATATATATTTTAATTTTACATTTTCATGATGTAATTAATTATTAGCTTTTCATTAAACTCACGAACCCCCTGCAGTTCCCTCATGAACCCCAGTTTGGGGAAACCTTGATGTGATGTAATGTTTAATGCACTTCATGTTGTTAATAACAATGAATATATTTTCTTTCCCTTTGTATTTTTTTATCAATATGGTACACGATTATCCTATTTAAATAAATGTGATAAACAAGCTAAGTCAAAAGTAATCTAAAAGTAATCAAAAAGTAGTCTGATCATATTATCTAAAATGTGTAATGTAATGGATTACGTTACTAACTACAATTTCTGTCATGTAATTTGGAATCAATTTAAGTAATACAAAAATCTTCAGAGCAGTTGTGATAATTTAAGTAATACAAAAATCTTTAGAGCAGTTGTGATAAAGTGATACAAGTTGGTCCATGCTGCAACACCATTTCATATCAGCTTAAGGCAGGTCACGCTGGTTTTTGGAACCTGCAACAACTGGTTTGAGCTGGAAACCGGTTAAGGTGGTTTTCCAGCATTTACCACTTTGACTGAGGTCTACTAGGTCAGTATTAGTATCATCACATTGCTATTGCATAAAATAAAATTGTATAAAATAAAATTATTAAAAAATATATTAAAATAGAAAACTGTTATTTTAAATTGTAATAATATTTCACAATATAACAGTTTTTATTGTATTTTCAATCAAATAAATGTAGCTTTAATGAGAGACTTCTCTCGAAAACATAATATTAAAAAAATCAACAACAACAAAAAAAATATATATATATTACCAACCCCAAACTTTTGAATGGTAGTGTAAGTCACCCAAAAATGAAAATGTTATTAGTATTGTTGTTCTAAACCTGTATGACCTTTCATGGGAGAAAATATTTCATTTTTTTATGTTTCATAGTAAGAAAGTCCTACGGGTTTGGAGCAACATGAAGGTGAGTAATTGATGACAGAATCTCTTTAAAGGGGTCATATGATGCTGCTAAAAAGAACATTATTTTGTGTATTTGGTGTAATGAAATGTGTTTATGCGGTTTAAGGTTAAAAAAACACATTATTTTCCACATACTGTACATTATTGTTTCTCCTCTATGCCCAATATTTGTCTTAAAGGGACTGACACTATCGTTCAAAAGTTTGGGATCTTTTAAACTTTCTTTTCATCAAACAATCCTGAAAAATGTATTACAGATTCCACAAAGATATTAAGAGGCGCATCTGTTTTCAACATAATAACGAGAAGAAATGTTTTCTGAGATTTGAATGATTTCTGAAGGATCATGTGACACTGAAGACTGGAGAAAGGTTCAGCTTTGCCAACATATGAAAAAATTATTTAAAAATATATTAAAATAGAAAACTAAATTGTAATAATAGTTCACAATATAACAGTTTTTATTGTATTTTCAATCAAATAAATGTAGCTTTAATGAGAGA